AAAAAAATGTAATGAAGTGCACAGATACATTTATAATAAACAAAACAATATTTCAAGAAGATTTGTCAAATTTGATTTCATGCCGACTTTAATCCGAATGGGCTTTAGATTGCAATTGATGATAATGTACAATAAATTATATGTGGAAATAAAACAATTATTATTGGTATAATAACATTGGCCAGTGAATTTTACACAAGTGTCATAGATTGTATTATCACTGTAGGGCAGTCACTACTTGTAGCTTAGATGGTAATTTAGTATTTTGTTGTTAACTTTTCAGTAGCTTAACTCCTTTGTTATGATGTGTGCCATGGAAGCTTGGTCAGAGAAGCTAGACCAGCTTCATTTGACAAGAACTACCATCGTCTAGTCCTGAAAAGCAATGGTGGCCTAGTGATTCCATCACAGGGCAGTGAAGGTTTGATTCTATTATCTTGTGTTTTTTATATTGTAATCTTTGTAGATTAAGGTTACCTTGTTCTTATTTTCTCTGTTCTGTAAAGTGTATATGAGTAAAGCGATATATGTATTATTTTTATTATTATAAGGTGCTGAGAGCTGCAGAGAGGGTGATCCGCCGAGCTTCAACAACACAAGCTCCTACGGTGTCAACAGTCACACATGTTTTGCGGGAAGAGATTGGCACAGAGGACATTTTCCTTCTTGGAGAGCACATTGAGGAGACCGAGTTTGGCATCGACAACCATCAGTCTGACTTCTTGTCTTTCGTTGTGTCTGTGTTTTTAAAGATAAGGCTCCACCATATTGCCAAAATCGCCTCTCTTGAACTACAGAAAGTAAGCACGAGAAAGAAGCTCTTTAAAACAGTCCTCTTTCAGGGGTTTTAGTGTGTGTGTGTGTGTGTGTGTGTGTGTATGTGTGAGAAAGAGAGAGTCCTACGACCGCAAACCAGAAGAGGCAATGTCCATGCGCTCGATTGTTTACACACAAACACACTCAAACAGTATCGCGCCTCTCTCTCTGACACACATAGTTCGATCGCGCCTCTAATTATTATCATCACACACACTTTGCACTCTAGCTAAGTAGCCTATGATATAGTTCGGATACCAACATCAGGAGGACAATCACTGACAGCGCATTCTCTTTTGTCTTGTCACCATAGGCGTCATTTACGGGGGGGACGGGTGGGACACATCCCCACCACTTTTTGCCAGGGTCGATTTTGTCCCCACCCCTTTTGAAACATCTCGTGGCACAGATGTACCAATACAAATAAAACATTTCCAGTTAACAGCATTCGTTTCATTTGTTTGTTAAATAACAGGCGATCAAGCACTGAAATGTGTTGTCTTCTCTCGGAAACGCGCTTCAATCGGTTGCGGAGATTCGTTCCGGTGAAATCACAATTTAAAATGCACACAAACGTGTCCCTGTTTCTCATGGGTTCTAATCCGCGCTCGTATATCGTATATAAAATATTGTACATTAGCCACCACCTACTGGTTATTACATGCTGGCACATTGGAAACCATGGAGTGGTTTTTCCGTGCACAAGCACAAAGAACAAACAAATCCTGTAAATTGCACGATTTAATCTAAAATTAAATTGGAACAATGTCTTTAAAAATTGACAATGAGCATAAATAAAACACATACACAATTTTATTATTATTTTACATTTTTGAGAATATATGAATAAAGGGTTTCCTGAATAAAGGAATTATGCGTATAGTGCACCAAAATGGCTAGTAGTTGGTTACACTTTTTGCATTCCTAGTATGAAATTACATTTTTTTCACAAAGTTTTTTTCAATTAAGGGCTTTGTCAAGTTTTACCCCTCTACTTAATAATTACAAAGCGCAAACATGCAGCAAATATTTACTTTTGAGTATACTGCAATTTCTTAACTTAATTGAACACGCTTATAATTTACATCTGCTATAGAGAACTTTGTCAACATCACAAAACGTATCATGCATTATCTGTCGTGCTTGTCAGTCTCGTCGCCGAATGAACCATTTCGAGCGTCATAGGTGGAGAGCAACTGCGTGTGACTGCCAACCCCAAGACGTCAGTTATATGACTTTTTGGGATGAGACTGTGTTATGACTGCAGAATCCGACACATGCGCCTTGCACTTGCAAGAGTTTTTTGACATATGTCAGCATGACATCAGAGCAAGGCGGACTGCGCTCGGACACATTTCTAACCGGCATGCATCTCGCGCTGATCACCGGGGATCGGTTCAACGTAGATTTGGCTCATCTCAAACAAGCCTAAAATATGGTCTGACATATGTCTTCCCAAAAGATCATTATGGAAAGTTTTGTTTGAATCAAAGGTTTTGTTTGTTTGTTTGTTTGTTTTATTTGACTGAACTAAGGCTAAAATTAAATCTCACTATGATAGCAGTTAGAAAAAAAAATAAAAAACACAAATGGGTGGTTCAAGCAAACATTTGGATTGTTTGATGAGAATGTGGCAAACAATTCGGTAGGTCAACAAACAAAAGTGTCTACACAGAATGTCACTCAATGTTTACTTTGTTTCAATGTATTGAGCCTGTGTTTAATCAATGTACCCACCGTGGAACTGATATTTTGTGTCGTCCCTGGCAGCTGTTTTGGACACCGTTGGGTAGACATGCTGCTTCTCTCTCGTGTACTGCTGCATGATTAAGTCAACACTGCACCCTGGTGGATGCTCATTCAAATACACTTTGCGTGGGTCACTCACTCACTGAATTTTTGTCTGGGTTTAGTAATGTTGTTTTTCAATAAATTACTAAACCCAGTAATAAATAAATATAAATAAATTACAGATTAGTAATCTATAAATTAAAAATTAGTAAAATTAGTAATAAAAATGCGTAATAAATGACCTTACTAAACAATGACTTGAATACACATAATCTTCTAGTATATATGAAGAGTTCAGATGCAAAAGCCTCTAAATGCCATTTGAAATTTTCTTCTTTAATGATGATTTTTATCAAACTTGTATATTTATGTTCAGTAATTTTACTTAAATAACAATTAATAGGTAATTATCATTGCCATTTAAGTGAAATTACTGAACTTAAATATACAAGCTTGACAAAAATCATCATTAAAGAAGAAAATTTCAAATGGCATTTAGAGGCTTTTTCATCTGAACTCTTCATATATTTTTTTATTTATTAAATTAAATTTCAAAAATCAAGATAAACCAAAATCTAAAAACTACCCTTTAACTTAAAAAACGTGTAAAATTTCTAAAATAATTATTAAAATCCCATATGTATTGAAAGTGTAAAGAAATTGGTAACTCTTTAATTATAGCCTTAATAATGCATTATGAAGTTATTTTTAATGCATTAATTAAGCATTGTAATGCGTCCTCTGGAGTCTAAGGTGTTTTTGCAGCCCATTCTCACTCCCAAGGAGTCACCTAACTGACGCCTTGGGAAGCATTTGGACATGCTTCAATATCTGACGCTTTAGGCGCCCTTTAGCGTCAGTTAGATGACGCCCTAGGATCGTGTGTACCCTACCCCCACACCTAAACCTAACCGGGTCCTCTAACTGACGCTTTCCTTTAGCGTCAGTTAGATGACGCCGTAGGATCGCGTCATGTAAGTGACGCTAAAGGGCGCCTAAAACGTCAAATATTGAAGCATGGTCAAAGGTGACGCCTTGGGGTGAGAATACGTTGGTTTTTGGGGTCCTTGGGATGTTCTGACATGCCCTGATATTTGTGCTTTTTTCAGTTGCTTTTAAACATATTAATGGCACAAGTGAAATTACAATCTATTTAGCACAAACATGGCTACCATATTATGTGAGCAACATGCATGTACATGTTTGTATTTTTGAGAGAATATTGTTTATGCATGGTAATTGAAAGAAAGTTTCTGAAAATAAGGACATAAAACATACTAAATATGCGCCCACAACACTTTTGACTATGGAAGTTGCCGCCTAGAGTTTTTGCTTCAAAATGACCTGAAAATCATCCTGCCTAATCATTCATGTAAAACAATAGATTGTTTTAAATTATTAAAAATATTTGTATTCGTTTGGAAAGGCCCAACCCCTAATTTTTGATTAGACTGTTTTCACCTGATGTTTCCTTGGTTGGAAATATCTTGAAAAGAAAATTGTACCATAAAAGCTGATAAGTTTATTTTTGACAAAACATTTTTAACAAACACTATACTAACTATAAAAACAAAAGCTTATTTGATGTGGCTGTAATGTATTTTACAGTAAAAAGTATTCATTTATAACTTTAATGCATTTATAACAAAAACAAGTATAAAAAAATGTCTTTCATTATTCGCCTGTAACTAGGCATATTGTTGCGAATGAGCTGACATGAGAACGCCTGACATCTCTCTCTTTTCAGCCCATTCTCACCCCCAAGGCGTCACCTAACTGACGCCTTGGGAAGCATTTGACCATGCTTCAATATCTGACGCTTTAGGCGCCCTTTAGCGTCAGTTAGATGACGCTCTAGGATCGCGTGTACCCCACCCCCACCCCATACCTAAACCTAACCGCGTCCTCTAACTGACGCTTTCCTTTAGCGTCAGTTAGATGACGCCGTAGGATCGCGTCATGTAAGTGACGCTAAAGGGCGCCTAAAACGTCAAATATTGAAGCATGGTCAAAGGTGACGCCTTGGGGTGAGAATGCGTTGCTCTTTTCATGTAGATTACATAAACAGAGAATATTTATTTTTTGTTCTGAATAAGGCAATTTAAAAGTACACACTTAAATGATTATAAAGATAGATAGCTCATGCCTGGGTAAATAGTATTCGCTGAGTTTTGTTTAAGTTTTAGAGACATGCTTCAAAAAAAAAAAAAAAAAAAGTCACGGTGACCCAGAAAGCACTGGTTATTTTCTTTATTTTACAAAAGCACAATGTTTTGTTTCGATTGTAAGTGAACACATAAAAAAAAATAAAATAAAATAAACATTCAACTGTTTATATTTTCATATTTCTTAAGCCTGTATGACCAAAAATGACGGAGTATTTTAAGTCTATATTGCTGCTATGAAAAAATAGAGCAAAACGCACAGGCATTTGCCGACCCCAGAGGATTTTAAGTATGCCTTACATCTCATAATGCATTGTATTGCATCTCATAATGCATTGTAATTGTAACCGCAGGTATAATAGATTATAATTTTTCTATTCATTGTATAGACCTTTAGAAATTATAACTCAAACACATGACAAATGACCTATTTCAGTAATGAGAAATCTGCAAATATTGGTACAATTATTTATCAACATATTTTGAATACATTTATAATGCATTATACATAAAGGCTTCTACATTTTACATTTACATTTTATTAATTTAGCTGACGCTTTTATCCAAAGCGACTTACAATTGCTATATGTCAGAGGTCGCACGCCTCTGGAGCAACTAGGGGTTTTAAGTGTCTTACTCAGGGACACATTGGTGTCTCACAGTGGATTCGAAACCCAGGTCTCTCACACCAAAGGCATGTGTCTTATCCACTGTGCCATCACCACCCCTAAACTAAAGTGTTACCATTACTTTTTATTGGTTATGAAACCTGGTGGTTTCAATCAAATAAGTAATTAAACTAGCAGTTAATTGATCACATTAGGAATATTAATGAATAACAAGGTGAAATCATACTAATCATATAATTGAAGATTTAAACAAAATGATTATTTTTCTGGCTTGCAGGCTAGAAAATAGAAGTATTTGACTCCCATGATAACTTCTGTCTCCGAGGATATCACGTCCATTGCACACAACAGTCTTTACATGAAAATGAGAGTGTGACGAAAAGAAAAAGAAAGAAAGAGATGGTGTGATACACACACAGGAATATATTACAGACATTTCAAACATGAATAGGTGTAGAGAACTCAATATACCTTTTTTCAATGTCCTTTGAGAGTCGTCTGGCCTTTTCAGGATCTTTTTTTAATAGTGCCTGGAACGTGGAGAAAGACTCCACCATACCGATGTAGCCAGAGAGAGGTACAGGCTTCCTCACCCAAAATAACTCTTGCCTTGAGACAAAACACAGTTGCAGACCGGCTTCTGATTGGTCAATACAGCATTCCAGCCATGTTATAATCCACAATAAAAAATTATAGCTTCGACATTATTTATTTATTGTCAAATCCCTCTCATTCATGGACTTCATCCCTAATAATCCTCTGCCTGGACTCATCAACTATAATTATGTCGACCTATGTGTCATTAACTTGTTTAGCTCACCATTTATAAACCTGGTTTTCTCATTTATTCCCTGCAAAGTCTTGTTTAGTGTTTCTACTGCAATTCTGAGCGTTCTGTCTGTTGTTCCCGTGTCCATGGTTTTCATCTCTGCTTGTCCTAGGATTTTCCTATTTGTCTGTGTCCCTGTGATTGTATAGACTGCTGATTTTATGTCTATGTCCTCTTGTCTGTTTTCTGGATTACATCTTTGAATAACCCTCTGAACAAAATAAATTGCATTTGAATCCTCAACCTTCTTGTCTTGGAGCAGTTTGTGACAAAAAAATAACATTTTAACAGCTAGTTGGATAATGTAGAAATATTTTACCATTCTTTAACTGGGTACTGGAGAGAGTTGTAGGTTTTCTTGTAAAGTTCGAGGGAGCTGGGACCCAGGTAAGGGTTCCGGAAAGGCTGTAGCACTGCATAAAACTGAAATAAGACATATAAATCTACAGTAGTGAGACAAAAATTGTAACACTTGTTAAAGGGATAGTTCACCCCAGAATGACAATTCTGGCAGTAATTATTCACCCTCATGTTGCTCCAACGCTGCAAGATTTTCGTCCATCTTCGGAACACAAATTAAGATATTTTTGATTAAATCCGAGAGCTGGATCACTACTCCATAGGCTTTTAATTAAGGGATCGAAACTTGCCGGCCCAGAAAAGTTATTAAAGACATTGTTAATATTCCAATGGCGCTTTTCCACTGCTGCTACTGCTCACTGCAGTTAGTACCACTTCAAAGTGGGTGGTATTGTAGTCTGACTATTATAGTTTATCCGCTCCTTGGCAACCAACGAGAGGAACGTCTGCACTTCGTCCACTGACCATGATTCAGCCATTTATTTTTTGGAAGTTTTCTTTTTTTTTTCTCAAGCAAGTAGTTTTAAATCAGGTGCTACAGCGATGGCTTAAATCTAGTGGGTTTGATGTTTTGCAAATACAATGACGCTGCTAGTGACGATCCTGTCTCATTCTGAACATCAGTGATCTGCTGTGTGTTCATGTCACATTTTAGTATCAGTATGGTACACTTGGAACCTACAAAAAGTATTGATAAACTTAAGATTGAGCCACTGTAGTCACTTGGACTATTTTAACACTGACTTTAATAACTTTTGGGCCAGCAAGTTTCAATCCGTTAGAAGCCTATGGAGGAGAGATCCAGCTCACAGATTTAATTAAAAAAAAATATCTTAATTTGTGTTCCGAAGATGAACAAAAGTCTTATGGGTTTTTTTTTTTTTTTTATATATATATATATATATATATATTATTGGACAAATGCATTTTACATAATTTCAAAGAGCTTCTAAAATGTCCTCAGCATATGTGGCACACACACACAAATGTTCAGACTGTTGAAAAACATTTATAAGTCAGAAACTTTAATTCTTATAAGTCCTACCTCATTACAGATGTTGTTTAAAGTCTCTGAGCAATCTCCATAGCTGAGCTCCATGTCCATGGTGTAGTTAAGAAGTGCGAGGCAGCCATGTGGCTTAAGCACTCTGTGAGCCTCTTGAAGAAAACGTGAATGGTCAAACCAATGAAACGCAGACATTGCCGTCACAAGATCTACAGAGCCATCCTCAAAAGGCAGTTCTTCAGCTGGACTCTCCCTTTGTTTCAAATCAGTGAAAACAGTAGCATGTATACTATGGGTTAAACTCGTGAAGAGAACCAAATCAAGGGCTTAATCATGATTTATTTGTATACATATGTGTGTGTTTGTGTGTGTGTGTGTGTGTGTGTGTGTGCGTGTGTGTGTGTGTGTGTGTAGGTCAATGTAAGTTATACACACGATTTTCATTCATATGAAAGTCAATTTGGATAAAATGATATGCTAAAGGAAAAAAAAATATATATATATAAATTGTCTTTTTTTAAAAAAAACACTCCCTGTTGTAGTAAAACGATAGGATACTAATATTTCTGCATTAGTTTTAAAACAAAGTGTCGTGTGTTGATGATTGTGTTCTGCCTGATTGATGGAAAGGTAAATGTGACAGCTGATACAGTACATTTTACACAAAGGCAAGCTGTTTGTTTACCGTACCTGTAAGACACATTTGGTATGTTGACATATTTCCTCGCCATCTCCAGTTGAGCTGGGCTGATGTCTGTTCCCACTACACGAGTAAAATGAGGTGCTAAGAGCAACGTTCCCTGCCCTGACCCACAACCAACATCTACAGCCAGGTCATTGGATGCATTTTTCTGAGAAAATACAGTAGAAGTGTATAATATTTCCAAATGTAAATAAAACGGCATACATGGCAGGGTAATGAACGAACGAACAGTCATGACAAAGGTCTTACATTACTCCTGTGGAATTGCAGAACCTTGCTGATGAGCTCTTCAGAAGGAGAAATTCTGTACTTCCAGTATGAGGCTGCATGTTCTTTACCCTCAAACAAACGTGCAGACATTTTTGGACAGCTGTACAGCCTCTCAAATCAGAAAGCTGGAGAGATTTGAACAGTCAGTATACTAACTTGAGAGAATGGAAGGGGTGGAGCCATCTCGGGTTTTAGGTTCTACTTGTTTCTTCACGCGCTGATACAATATCGCAAAGCTGTTTAAAACATTCCTTTTGGCTAACCATTATGTGCTCAGTTTGCTAATGAGGACTTGTGGCTCACACACAGAGGTTCTGGCTCATTCACTGTGCAGTAGAATACTAAAAGTCCTGCCAAGGTTAATGATCATCTCCTTTTCAATGAGTAGAATGGGATCAAAGGTTTCTAGGCTAACTAGATGTCATGCTGAGAGGATGAAGTAAAACATTCACATTGAAATCAGAGCAGGGAAAACATTACACTCAAGTTTTCCATACAGTAATTTTGAAAGCCATCTCGGGTTAGTTTAAAATCATAAGATTGTTTGTAAAACAAGATGTAAGCCGTTAAGTTACGAAAGATGGAGATATGAAAATATAAAAAAAAAGAAATTATAGAGATGCATCATGCTCAACCAATCTGTTGATGCTATTGATGATGATGAACAGGGAGTGTTAGGGAAAGTTACTTTTAAAAGTAATGCATTACAATATTGCATTACTCCCCAAGGCTAACTAATTGTGTTACAGAGTTACTTTTGATGGAAAGTAATGAATTAAGTTACTTTTGCGTTAGCTTTTCTCACCTGGGCTGGACTTTTTTTGGCAAGAGGTATTGCTGGCAAATGTTAATGTTGCAGGTCCTGGAGACCCGGCAGTCAAATTACTGAAAATAAAGGAAAGAAAGAAGAGAGTTACTAATCACGTCTGTTCTCGACCAGCTCCTCTGTATCATGACATCTTTACAACAAATCAAACTCCAACATTCACCAGTCTCTTAAATCACAAAAATAAACCAATTTTGTTTCTCATTTTCTCATTTAACCTGTTTGAACATACAACAACCATTTTTCCTACTTTATGGGTCAGTCAAATCTAGCAAGTTATTATTTTAATTGTTCACATAAGTGCAGATTTAAAGTCTGTTCCAAGTCTTAAAGCATTTGTAACATTTGATTCACCGTTAGTTTGTCAAAAATCAACATCTCAAACTTGTACTTCTCAAATCTTGTACTTCTCAAACTTCTCAAATCTTGAACTATTCAAGCCAGCTGATCACATCACCATCAAGGGAGCCAAGCACAGAGTAGCTTTGCACACAACATAACCAAACTGATTAACTTCTACAAATAACCCAATGGAAAATTTTCATCTGACACGCTGAATAAACATGTTAGACTCAAATATTGCATTCACGGAAAGATTACAGCAGTTTTACCACAGTATAACTTAACCCATACAACACTTTTAGAAAGTTATCAAATTATCACAACCCTCACTGCAAATTGCAATTAAGTGGATGTTACCCTATTTGATCAAGTTTTCCCCGATCATTTGTACTTAACCTGAAAATACAGAAAAGAAAGAAGAGAGTCGGAAATCACGTCTGTTCTTCTTCTTTAAGAGCTTTATGGGGGTTATCACGTCTGTTCTCAGCCAGCTCCCCTGAATGGAGCAGAGACTGCAGAGACTGCAGATCCTGTGTCAAAATAAAAGTCTCTAAGGTGTCCATTCTGAAGCTCCGTTCACACCGCCAGCGACTTTGTCGCTGTCGCTCTCTGGGAAAAGTGGATTAAATCATTTACTAGATCAACGATCAATCAATGAACAAGTTGCACTCTCTCATACAGTAACTAATTCTAAAAATGTGATTACAATTTGACAAATAATCAATTTTATTGTGCCTAATAGTCAACGTAATGCAGGGGAAATTGTAAAATGAACTGCAGCAGTGCTAATGTGCATCATAAAATTAAAACACTCAAACTATAACATTAAATGTATTAATTAAACTCTCTGAGACTGTCAACAGTTTATTTTCCATGCATCATTTTATTATCCATGTATGTGGTTACCTGACGTATCTAAACCCGCCCCAGCCCCCGACGTAAGCATGACGTGGTAAAAGAACGGTTCTAGTCCAGCAAAGAGTTGGTGCCGCTTTGGAACCAGTTCTCCTGGCCGAGAACCGGTTCTTTGGCTGTCGAAACACAAATAACTGGTTTACGCGCAGGCACCGGCACCGAACCGGCTCTCAAAATGCTTTGGTGGAAAAGGGACTTGAAAGTCTTCTTTCCTATTTGTTGTCGCAGGGAGGTCATCTACAGATCGTGATCATCGTGGTGTGTGCTGGCACTGCTGTTGCTGGGACTTCTATTTTTTAAATGTCTGTGCAAAACAGGTGAGCTGATCTCAGAGACTGTGTGAGGAGGAGAAGATACTCCATAAAAAAATAAATGGGACAAATTGTTACACTCAATGTGGCAGTTGAATAATTGTTGTGACTTTCAGTTAAAAAAGCTAATGGGCTTTATGCACAGCTGCACTACTTCCTGAACTTAAGCCAGCTCCTTGTTTCCTGTCTGCCATTATTGGCCAAATTGATTAATTCAGGTGTGCCTGACCTCAGTAGTCATGGCAACAATAATCAGACACTCCTGAATTAATCAATTTGGCCAATAATGGCAGACAGGAAACAAGGAGCTGGCTTAAGTTCAGGAAGTAGTGCAGCTGTGCATAAGGCCCATTGCCTTTTCACAGAGACATTTACTATTTTTTGTCTATATAGGGACAATTATTAGCTGGATAAGCCTGACCAACCCAGTCTCACGACCAAAATCGTACGAATTCGACGCATGATTAAAAAGTGTCTAATTCGTACTAATTCGTACGACCTAACTCGTATGAATTAGTACGATTTTGCTAAATCGTACGTATTTTACGAATTGGCCAATTAAATTGGCCCCTAAACCTAACCATCTCGTGGGTTTAGACAAATCGTACAAATTCATACGAGTGAGGTCGTACGAATTAGTACGAATCAGACACATTTTAATCATGTGTCGAATTCGTACGAATTGGTTGTGAGATAGCGTAGGCCTGACAGACATAGTTTTCATCAGGTTTTGCTCTGTTTCCTTAGATAGGAGCACATGCCTCCTGTCTTCAATCAATCAGTTCAGAGGTCAGCTGAAAACATGTTCTTTCATAAACATTTTAGAATGTCGTTTTGATTGACTAATCATATATGTGTTATACTGTATATATTTTTTGTGATTTACAGTAAAAGTACACTCTTTAAGCTTGTCTCAATATCTACAGGATATGTTGGACTTTACTACAGTCATCTTCAGCTACAACACAATGAGCCTTCACACTGGAAATTCATGTACAGAAACGTGTATTTATTTATTTTTAAAATATCATCATGGAATGGAATTGAAAACATTAAATTCATTTTAAGCTCATGGATTATTTCGGTATAATATGAATGAATTAAGAGTAATACATCTTGTTCTGCTCAAGTGAGATTGTGAGTGTGTTCTATCTGTAAGTAAAGGGTCTTGGGGTTTATTTTCATAGGGGGAAAAAAAAATACCACGAACATTATCTGAGTATAATCAGACTTGAATCAATGTTTGATACCAGAAAGAAACCTCCATGTGGTTTCATGTCACACAACTCTGCTAAAGCAACGTATTTCCTGATATGGAAAAAGCGAATGTGTTTTGGTAACACTTTATTTGAAGGTGACGTAGTTACACGTTACTATACATTACAGTAAATTTTGCATTACTAATTAAAGTAACTAACCCTAAACCAAACCCTATCCTAACCGTAACTCTAGTATGTAGTCATTTAATATTACTCTGTACTCATTTGAGTAAGTATAATTTAACTATCACAACTATTTTGAGCTTTGCAAAAGTATTTCAACTTAAGAAAGAAAATACTTCATTGCAAGCATTTTAAGACATTCACAAAATAAACCATATAAAAAGTTTCTAATTTTGAAATGTGAAATGTTATCAGGCACATTTGGCTCTGTGAAGGCAAGGGATTCAATAAAAAAAATAAATAAATAAAAAAAAAACGGTAACACTTTAGTTTAGAGTCCAATTCACACTATTAACACTGCTTATTAGCATGCATATTACTATTGGATGTAGTAGCCTACACATATTAATTCTTTATTCTGCATGAGCATATTCTACATCCCTTAATCCTATATATATAAACTATACTTACTATTAATAAGCAGAAATTAAGAGTTTATTGATGCATAAGTCATACTTAGTGAGAATCTGACCCTAATCTAAAGTGTGATCCCCTCTCTTATACCTCGTCTAACTATGACGACCTCCATAACACAGTCTCATCCCAAATCGTCATATAACTGACGTTTTGGGACGTCTTTTGACCATACGTCAATATCCGCCTTTTTAGGGCCCCCTTAAACGTCGGTAGATGGCGATCCCGGGCCGTCATACAACTGACGCTTTACCTTTAACGTCAGTTAGGTGACGGGTTAGGTTTAGGGTTAAGTTTAGGTATGGGGTAGAGTTAGGATCCCATAACCTCATCTACCGACGTTTAAGGGGGCCCTAAAAAGGCGAATATTGACGTATGGTCAAAAGACGTCCCAAAACGTCAGTTATATGACGATTTGGGATGAGAGCACTCAGAACAGGAACACACAACAAAAGTTAAAAAAAACTGTCTAACACATTAATTCTTTTTTTTATTTATTCTTTATTTATATAATTTATATTGATATTATAATTTATTTCTGTTTCTATTCAATTCTATTTTGTACATTTTATTAAATGCCTTTTTATTACCAAAATCTATGGTTTGATGTTGTTTCCTCATACAAATATAATTTTGTAATTCTGTTCATTGAAAATCATAAAAATAAAGGTTTTTGAGGCATGGGGCTTGTATGTCAGTTCAGTTCAATTTATTTTCACAATTTATAGTGCTTTTTACAATTATTTTTTTATAGCTTAACAAAGACAAGTGCCTTAAAAAAAAAAACAGGAAACAAGGGACAGTGGTAAATTTAAATATTTTGTAGAGCTGTACTGTAGTGCCCTACAAAGAAACCAAGTTTCAAAAATAGACCTCAAAAAAGCTGGTGAGTTTTATATCACACTTTAGATCGCATCTGTATGTGCCTGAGAGAAACCTCAAGATAGTTCAGTTTAGCAAAACATTTCCTGCACTGGAAATGAGCTAATCGTGCAAACCAGACTAGTCTATATATATATATATATATATATATATATATATATATTGCATTTTCAAACATGTTTTATTTTATTAATGCAAGATAACTTAAAATGGGGTTATCAGAGCTGTTGAAACCATGAACAAACATTTAATATATATATATATGATTTCTTATGAGTTCGATTTTTAGAAATTTGTTAAAAATCTAAATGTAATTTAACCCTGCAAAACTAATTAGAGCTAAATAGTACAATATCCCTTTGCATGAACATTTTGTTTAAAATTCATGTGCTGGTTGTTTTCTGTGACGGGCAGATTTCTGAATATTGCACCGCCCATTCAAACTTACTGTCTAGTTGTTTCTTCAAACTCTTCAGAGTGCATATTTGTATCTGAGGCACTGATAAGAAGAATCATGCCACTTAAATCTTTTCAAATATTTACACTGATGTGTGGATTTTTTTCTCGATTCTATGCTATCGGTGAGTCTCACTTTAACCAATTGATCATCAAAAGAAAAAATATTCTGTCAAGATATTTGAACTCTTCTGTCTTTTGCTGTGTTTTAATTTCACCCTATACAATGTACACTAATTAGTAATTGACAAACTATAGAATGATTTAATAATGTTCAACTATTTAACATACATTTAAACGTGAACATTTATACAGCACAGTAATCTGTAGGTTTCATAATCTCCATTGTAATCAAATTGAAATTAAACTTCTATTTAAAGTTTTATATAACAGTTTAATTAAAAATGAAAAATGTTAGTGAAGAAATGTCACTCAAACACTCTGACAATCCAAAAAAATATACACAGAAATAGTATACTAGCCTCTCTTTGTTCTCTCAATGTTTTGAAAACACTGGTGAACACAAACTGTTTTTGTGCAAAATCAGCTGAAGTTTTGTCTTGCATGGTTTCTTATATGTAACTGTAATTGTTTTTCATTCTGCAAAGCATCTCCACCAATTCAAACTGCCCAAAAGGAAGGTTGGTTGATTTTCCATATAGCTAAAAACATTTTAAAAGTAACAGTAAATGCAGTTATAAATGTAAGAAAGATATACACTATTTCTCACTATCGGTTCTCATACTCTTCCAAAGTTCTACGTGGCGTTGATGTGTCTTTGCGATGTGAGGTCTCTTTCCTGTCTGAATCCTCAACATTACAGTGGGAGAGAGATGGAGAACAAACATCCAACACCACTTTACTGTACAACAACTCTGCCTACATCATCTTACACACCGTTGATGGACACAATCAGGGCAAATATTACTGTAGATTGATGGAAGATGGAAGAGTGACAACGGTTAGGATTCACACACTTTATGTCAGTTCAAGTAAGTATATTTTATATTAAATCTGTGGTGCATGCCTAAATAATAATGATCTAAAATATTTTACATTAAGAATACTGTAAGTTAATTTAATATTTATACAGTTGTGACCATAATTATTGGCTCCATTTTATCAAATCTGCAGTCCGCAGTTTTTCCTCTTTGTCCCGATCGCTGTTCGAAATCTGCAATTGCAGTCATTCGCGGAATTATCAACTTTAAGTGAGCTGTACTTCAACACCCTAGACACGGCACAGCGAGGATGGACTCAGTAGCCACGCCGGTGTCGATACTGGCATTCAGAATCTAGTCTTTTTGGAAGTATGACCAACATAATATTTTTTACCGGAAAATGTCATCTGAACTAGTAAGAAAAATCCACTTTTGTTCTGTTTCTGACATTGCAGTAAATCGTGCTGATTAAATCTAACCATCGCTTATCACATCATCACGCAAAACCGTGCCAATTATACTTTGTTCTCAAATTGTTAATGTTAACAACGTCAGGATTGTGTGACTACAATTAATGTCCTGACAATATGCATCCTTGTTTTGATGAATCTGTTGTCATTGGTGATTGTTGTTTGAACCTTTCTGGATCTGCCATCAAATTGATAAGTTTAATTATATCAAGTGCTGTGAAAAAAGGCTATAAATCTCCACCTCCATCATCCTACTCATAGTCTATAGCCGAGACTTCTTTATGTGTACAGATGTGACGTAATGGAGATGAAACATGTTTCTCATGGAAATCCACCAGTACCACTGGAATTAAAAACATTACAAGCTTGCCGTTTTGAATCGAGCTAAGGCAAGCAGATAGTTTTGAACACTTGAACACAAACACTCACATGTATTTTCTCAAAAATGTACTTTGGATCATTTTTAACCAAAAAAAAAAAAGCTACAGACTGCAGCTTTAACCCCTTAACTGTCATCCCCCCTTTTTTGAGAATGGGGGTTAAATGCTCTATTCACACTTAAATGGTTGTAATTCAAGAATGCCTTGGACTATATACCCAAGTTTGGTCTTGTTTTAAAGAAAACACTCAGCAGCTTATTGCTGAAGTGAAAACATTTTACAAAATATTTTTACTCTAAAATTACTATAAAATCAAAGCCATAAATCTAACCAAGTTATGTTCCAAATTTGAAGTTGATATCACAAAAATTGAAGTTCCCATGAGATTTTGTTTAGGCGTAGTACAAAAAAAAGCCACCGGGTGCTGAATTCCATTGAATTTAGTTGTGTACATTCTGCCTTAAGAAATTAATACATTTCTGTCCAAATATCAATTTTGTCACAAAATTTGGAACCCTGAGACTCAGACCTTTCTGACAATATGTGTTTTGTCAAGATTAGAAAAGGTTTTGATAATAAATTATGAAATATAAGGATGCCCAAAAGGGGAGGAGCCTCATAAAATAAGTACCGTTTCTATGGTAACGCAACGTTCAATTGTAAAATGGTTTTCACAGGATGAATTCTGAGTTTATAAGCTTTCAAATGATACCTAATTTATGATAACTACTAAAATATTTTATTATATATTTATTATTATATATTATATGTTATATAATTAAAAAGGCAATAAAAATATTATTATATTTTAGAGGATAATTTATACATATATATTATAATTTTTAGAGGATAATGTTATACTATACTTTTTATTTTTTATTGAAAAATACTAGATTGTATGTTTTATTATGAACTTTTAGCATAAAAACAGAAGTTTCAATGATTAAAAGTGGGTGCATCAACTTTTTGTGACAAAGGTCAGACCTCCTGTTATGATGCAGAATTTTTTAGGTGCACTCTTGTCATAAATTCAGTAATTACTCTTCCTACATAATTTTTAACACAAAACAGGGGTCGAATATTTAATTAGAAGTCTTAGACCATTCCAAAAATATATAATTTGTCATAATTAGATTAGGATTTAATAGAAATATAGTGAAGTAAAGTTAGGTGTCCCGGTACCGGGACAGTGACGTTTTGCAACCTCCTTTTTGCCAAGATCCGAGCTTTGAGTCTTCTCCTATAATGCCTGGTGAGTTTGGAGAACAACTGACAAGAAATCAGAGACCATTCCTCCATACAGAACCTCTCCAGATCCTTCAGATTCCCAGATCCATGTTGCCGCTTCTTCTCTTTAATTCACCCCACTCATTTTCTATTGGGTTAAGGGAATTTGGCCTTTGTATTTCCTACTCTTGTGAAACAACAATGTCATGCTCCTAGCCAATTTTGTGAATGAAGGATCAAAAGGATAAACAATGCAGATTTATTTTTACAGCATCTTTGATCATATTTACCAGGGGTGCCAATAATTCTGACCACAACTGTAATTAACAATGTGCAAAAGTAGTTTTTTATTTTTATTTTTAAAGACAGTGCTTTTCAGTTCAAAGCTGAAATGTACTGTATACTAACTGAGATGTATTCACTGAAATTCACAATGTTACCTATTGTCTTTCCAGATTCATATAATGGAAATAATAAAATTAATACCATTTACAGACAAAGCTCTAATAATAGTGACGTATCACTGATCTGCAAGACTAAAAAGGAATACAATAGATGGAAGTGGACCTGGGAGCAGAGGCCTAATTCACAGACTGATCTGATAGCAGTTGAAAATGGAACAGAAGTTCAAGTAAAAGGACCGATTAAACCAGGAAGACTTTCTTCAACCACATACAATAGTCAAGTTTTTATCTTTCACATCTCACCTGTGAACTTCAATTCTAGTGGGACATACAGGTGTATTACAAAGGATATAAATAATCCCTATACAACCACAATGCTTCGCACCATCAGAGGTTTGCAAATATCAATCAATCAATATAAATAAATACATTGATTTTTTTTCATCAACATTTTGCTCATCAGTTCATTTGTTCGGTGCATTTAAAGGGATGCTCCACCGTTTTCATATTAAACTATGTTATTCCCTTAACTAAGACAAGTTGATACATACGGACCTCTCTCCTCTCAGTGCGTGCACTCAATCGCTGCGCTGTGGCTCGAGACACTTTGATAGCACTTAACTAGCCCAGTTCATTCAATATGGGCCAAGCAGAGAAGCGACCAAACACCTCCACGTTTTCCATAATTAAATACAGTTACAGAAGTAGAATAAATCGACCGAGAATGGTGACACAAAATAAAACATTGCACTTTTCTAAGCGTGCAAAGTGGATAACTATATCCCAATCACTCGCTGTAGTATTCCGCCATACATTATAGTTATACACTTTACACACCAGAGCGATTGAGTGCACGCACTGAGACGAGAGAGGTATGTATCAACTCCTCTTAATTAAGAGAATAACATAGTTTAATATGAAAAAAAAAAAAAAAACGGAAGAGTATCACTTTAAAAAGTCATTGATGTTGTTGATTTCAGTCTCAGTGGAGCACCCTGATGGTTTGTTGAGGAATCGGTCAGTGATTCTCACCTGTGAAGTTTCTGAAGTGACTGATTCACTGATGCTGGTCTGGCTCAGGATGGAGGGGAACAGAGGAGTGCTGGGAAAACAGCAAATTATGACTGAGAAAAACAACAAGTTACAACTCACAGTGAATCTGTCCAACAATGAAACAGACCCGCTGCACTGGCAGTGTGCAGTTTTTACCGAGGATACACTCAGAGCTCTGGCTCCTATAACAATCAGTCTTTCCTCATCATCAAAAACCACAACTCGACCAAACAAAGGTAATATATTAACCATTAATATACAGTACTTTTCACCTTATCTCGGAAAACAAGTATGCTCAAGATGTACGATGTACATGTTTTAGCTCATCTTCAAATACTCCTGGTATGAAAAGTCAACAAATGAATCTAATTAATAGACTCTATATTCTTTTAGAGTTCAACAAATATGCAAAGGCTACTGTATCCTCTGTTTTGGTTCTGTGTGCGGGGATTATGCTTGGAGCTATATTGTATTACCTTTACAGAAAGCGAATGTCAGGTAAAAAAAATCTGTGTTTCAGTTTTTTTTTTCCCAGTATATGAGGGATTCTTTCTTTCTTTCTTTCTTTCTTTCTTTCTTTCTTTCTTTCTTTCTTTCTTTCTTTCTTTCTTTCTTTCTTTCTTTCTTTCTTTCTATAGCTTTCTTTCTAAACTATAGGCTAACTCTTGCTGTATTTAATTCTTTCAGTGCACTCGAACCCTCAGGAGTCTGAACCAGTCTATATCAACATCAACCTAATGAGGAAAGACAAGGGTATTCAAATCGGCTAAATATATTTCATTTCAAATAGCCTATCCATTATCTGCAAGCTATGTTTACTATTTTACTGAAATAACTTACCATAAAAACATCACAATTACAACAACACACTTTCCTCCCAAAAACAAAGGTTAGTTTTCTTCTTTCTCCAGTAGAGCGCAGCAACGCACTGGGAAACAGAGAAACGAGTCCTGAAATGTATCGCCATTTAAGAAGAAACAGATATGGTAAGATATTTTACATCCAAGAATTCCAAAATGTCATCTCAACTCAACATCATCTCATAAAGATATTTTTCTGCAGACAAAACAAACATAAATGAAAGAGATGAGGTGAGTGCAGATTTTTATTAACATGTTACAGTCCAAAACATTATTTTATAATGTTTTTCATTTAATATACTGCCAGTTGTGATTGTAATTTCCCCTAAAGAAATTTCTTTGCTGTTGATTTGTCTCATCTCTCCACAGACACCAGCTACATCAGAGAGTGTGACCTACGCAACCATTTATTTCAACAAATCCAGGTGCCAGACTTAAAGATATAACTTCCCCAAACTGTTATGAAAATCTGTATGAGAATTTTGTCATTTATTCATATATTCCTAGTTTCACAGAGGCTTCAGCTTAGTCTCAGACTAAAATGCATGTTTGAGCTGCTTTAACTGAAAGCAGCTTGCACTGACGTCGCTCAAGATGCACACCAGTAATGTTTTGTTCTATGGCATGTTTATAAGCTAATTGTCCTAACTGAACTAAGGCATAATCCTGTCTGTGAAACCAGGACATAATGTTTATCTATAGGAGCTTCAACCTATTGTCTCATGAAGAAAGTATTATCACTTTCTAAATTAAACAGCAGATGGCGCTGTCTGATTACAAACTAGAATCTGAGACTGTTCCGTGGTATTGTGTGACAAACACACCTGACTGCCTTCTGCACACTAGCCTACCACAAATAATAATCTGATGGACTGACACTGGATTCACATTTTTACAAGCATCAACTAAATAGCATACTATTATTATGACTTAACATTTGTTATAGCCTAATATAGCATCTTTCATTGAAAGTGTATGAACTCTGGTGAAATGGCCATTTGATGGCACTGTTTGAAAACAAATTTGAAATATAATGCTAATAAAAAAAAGTCTAAGTACAAAAAAAAAAGAAAAAAAAAGAAAAATGCAGTTATACATCCTCTTCTCTCTCGCTTTCTCTGTCTGTCACTTTCATCCTCCTGGAATCCACCCAGAACATGCTGCTTCAATGTACTTCAATCTAAAAGACAAAAGTATGGGAAAGAAAAGTAGTTTGAATAGGCTGTCTTTATGGACGAGGGATAACGCTCCACACTAACTCAATGTTGCTCTGCTTTGTATAAATGCGTGTCTTTATTTAAACGTGCAGGGATTTTTAAATGCTTCTCAAGGTCTGCTAAGTAGAACCATTGAGTGATGAATTATGACAGCATCAAAATGTTCATAAACAATGTTTTGTGGAGGGAAAGGCAGATGTAGACAGAATAGGCTACGTTTAGAAAAAAAAAATATATATAAAACCAAGGTTAACACATGCTCTCACATCTTTTTCACCAAATTGTAGGTGTCAGATAATCCTGTTTTATTAAGGTCTTGACCACATCATGCAGTAAAGATGCATTACAAGGAGCACCATAAATACGGTCAAGATGGGTAAACTCTTATCCAAAGTCTTACTTTCAACTACTGACAATCACAGCACCTTTTTAGCTTTTCTGCCCGGCTTAATCTCCTTCACTTTGAATTAATATGTTCACTTTCATAAAATCGCTTTATTCTGTCCATCACTCCAAACACTTAACACACACACAGAAAATGGTGGCTTTGGTGTCTCTGCATCCATTTAAAGCTATGATAAACTACACACCATTACCTGTCCTATCTAAAATATACTGTGTCTGATGTGCTGAGCAGAAGAAAAATCAGACTCACATTATGTTATAATGTTACCAGATCCTGTAGGAAAATATAAGAACGTTAAATAAACAACTGATATTACTGATAGTAGTTCAGAAAGATATTCCAGTGGCTCCATTTTTATGCAAGGTCACATTTTTCATTCATATGGTTAGGGATGAAGGATAACATGCAAATGTCAAAATGTAGATAGTGAGGAAGCAAAAAAAAAAAAAGAATAATATCCATGGATACATGCTGGTGTGTCCAGTATAGCAATGCTTTTCACCAACAAAAATTCTAGTCAAACCGTATGAGGCTGGTTGCCCAATGGAGACTTGCTGGTTAAACCGTTTGGTAGAGACACCAGCATATCTTTTTCCCCATGCTTGAATATCTGACGCTTCAGTTAGATGACGCCCTAGGATCGCGTGTAACCCTACCCCTAACCCTGACCTAAACCTACCCACGTCATGACGCTCTCCTTTAGCGTCAGTAAGATGACGCCGTAGGATCGCGTCATGTAACTGACAATAGGGCGCCTAACGCGTCAAATATTGAAGCATGGTCAAAAAATGACGCCTTGGGGTGAGAATGTGTTGTCACCCATGCTTTTCCAACACATTCTCACCCCAAGGCGTCACCTTTGACCATGCTTCAATATTTGCAACACATTCTCACCCCAAGGCGTCACCTTTGACCATGCTTCAATATTTGACGTTTTAGGCGCCCTTTAGCGTCACTTACATGACGCGATTCTACGGCGTCATCTAACTGACGCTAAAGGAAAGCGTCAGTTAGAGGACGCGGTTAGGTTTAGGTATGGGGTGGGGTAGGGTACACGCGATCCTAGGGCGTCATCTAACTGACGCTAAAGGGCGCCTAAAGCGTCAGATATTGAAGCATGGTCAAATGCTTCCCAAGGCGTCAGTTAGGTGACGCCTTGGGAGTGAAAATGGGCTGGCTTTTCATAACAATGTGTGGTAGTCAGAAATGTAATGACAGAATATGAAAAACTGATATTCACAAATTCTGTGCAAGTCACAAACTTGATTCTCAACAGCCGAAGAGGATTTAGCAGTGCTTGCACACGGCTGATAAGGTACGCCTTGGGATGTATATGGCACCAGATGTCTGTTGTCTGGCTTTCTCACGTGCAGATACATTCCTGGGGCATGAATCTTGAGTATGTTGGAGGAAATGTGTCCTTGTGAATCTATTATTCTTTTGTAATGGAACAACAGCTGAACGCCTGTTGTTACGGAGAACAAGCCTTTATTGTCGGAGCTTCGCTAATATGCTAATTAACAAGTGCAAAGAGAGCGCAAAACCAGTATGAATAGAGAGGACCGAACCTGATCTATGAGTTTAATCAGACGCGTTGCAGCATTTTATTAGTGTAAATAATGTCATGCAGCATTTCAGCTGCTTTTTACGGCCATGTAATATTTGCACGTCGCCTATATAAGTAAGTACTGATATAAAATGGTGAGTTTCAGGGGGGAAAACACAGTGTTTGAGCACGCAGTGAAGTGTAGCTCGCTGGCAGACAGTGAGAGAGTGAATGAGAGCACAGGGGATGTTGGGATACTGGGACTCAAGGCTGATGCGTTATGATGGACATGTCGCTGACTCTCTCTGCCCCCACTGAAAGGAACTTCCAGGAACAGCACAACTCCTTTTGGAATAGAATGCTCCTGATAGTACATTCAGGCTACTTCCTATTCCTATAAGATAGGAAGGAGGGAATTTGATCAAAATCTTAATGTTAAACAGGGAATAGTAGTTTCACATCAGCACTAAAGGGCATGGTTGCTCTAATGCCTTGCGTTACTGAACGTGGAAAGGTCAAAGAGGCTATTGTGACATTTCATTAGCAGTTCTGTTTTTAGAATTCAGGATTTTAGGAACTAAGGTGGCTATACAGTGACAGTAAAATGCTTCATTTTATCACAGTGATATTAAGACCAGGCATTTCTTCTTTAATAACCAGTTTCCATTTGACATAATTGAGACTTCACTTTGAGGCAAAAATCACCTTGAGATAATGAGAATGACCAGCCCGTTTTCATCCTTTAACGTCATATAAAACGCTATATGCAAAAACAGCGCTATACACTACGCACATGGCACCCTTTATCGTTAATATAACACGCGAACCCAAGACGTCATAAATCCTTTAGCGTGAATATGACACGCAGACCCTACCCCACACCTAAACTTAGCCCTCACATTAACGATTAACGATAACGGGTGCCATGTGCATAGTATAGCGCCGCTTTTTGCATATAGCGTTCTATATGACGTTAAAGGATGAGAATGCGTTGGAATGACACAGTAACTTGAGGTATACAAGGTCACTAAAAAATTGTGAACACATATTTCAAAGATTCAGATATCATCATGTCCAGGGATCATACATTTTCATATTTAGAGACCAATGCCTGATATCCAACAGATTCCATAGGGTCAGAGAGATGCAGACAGACTAGCGCTCATTGAGTAGCAGTTAAGCTAGGACACAGCAGGGTCGATGGTGTGCAGACGCCACTGCAATACGTGTGAACAGCCTGAGCCTGTTGTGTAACGGGGTCTCTGAGCTGCAGTCTCAAACACAGCAAGATACACACATTGAGATTCCATGTTTTATGGGGACATTCCATAGACATAATTATTTTCATACCCTGTAAATTGTATATTCTCCTAACCCATCCATAAACATACCCATTTCAAAACGTATGGTATACCTGTACCACACACACATTAGCCTTGGTTCTTGAATTATTGCTGTGAGCCAGGAAGTGCATCGACACACTCTCTTTGAGTTCACTACATTTATTACAGAGGAAGGAGTTGATGTATTTTACTTGATATGATAATTACGTAAGAGTATGCTCGGAATATAAGACTACTTTATTTTTATTTATTTATTTATTTATTTTTTTGCATTATGCAGTATGTACTCTAGATGTACTACTGAAAATGCTACATACCATAATGCAATGCATGCAACTTCACCTTCCATTTTAAGAATGACGACTGAAAAAGTGGCATCAGCAAATCTGAACTTCTTGATTTGATTATTTAATCTTACCAAATCTATTCAAAATTGGATTAAAGATGCAAAATGGCAGTTGTTGTCAAAATAAATTGATGGTTTGAAATGATTATTACAGCAGGGCATAAAATTAGGAAGTGTAGTAACTATGCTATTTTTCCACTTCAAACACATCCTGATTGAAGTTAATTAAGTTTATATATATATATATATATATATATATATATATATATATATGTAAATACTTGGCAATGCACACACATACACACACACACACACACACACACACACACACACACACACACATATATATATATATATATATATATATACTGTATATATATATATATATATATATATATATAAATGTGCATTACTAAGTTATACTTTGTAAGCCAAAGTTACACTGACATTGGATGTTAAAAATGGATATTAGATCAATCATGAGTCATTTTAACTAATTACAGAAAAAATGAGAGGCATGTGAGACTATAATTATGATGAGCATATCCTAGCCTGTTAATATTGCTTTCCTCCATTCTAGTTCGCTCTATTACGAGCTCTCTTGCGGCGACAAAGGTTCATTCATTGATAAAGGACTGGACAGAAAATTCTGTGCTAATTTTAGAGTCAATCCTCATCTTCCACATTTGCACTTTAATTTTAATTTAATGAGTTCACTTCCCTCCTTATCCAGCCTTTATGAAAAATATTTGCATATGGTCATCGGTTATTTCAAATGTGCCTCAGTTCTCATAATTTTGAGATTGATTTTGCATACATTGTATATGTATATGTATATACATATACTGATTTGGTTGTGGTGGTGACAGCAGACAGAGTGAAAATCCAAACGCAGTCTATTTTCAAATGAAATCCAAGGTCATAGTGCAATACCAGGCAGAGGGTCAAGCACATGTATCCAATCCGAAATACAAATCCAAAACACGGGAAAAAAATTTAAATCAAGAAACTGCTCAAAATACTGACAGAGTGTAAACCAAATCAAACAAACAAGACTCCATCCTGAATGAAGGCAAAAGGCATTTAAATAGACAGGGTGATGATCAAATGAAACCAGACACAGCTGAAACAGATAAACTAATAATGAGCAAAGGATTCTGGGAAATGAAGTCCAGAAAAAAAAAAAAAAAAACAGAGTCTAATATACGGTATATACGGTGTGTGTGTGTGTGTGTGTGTGTGTGTGTGTGTGTGTGTGTGTGTACATGTACATGGTTCTGAAAATGTTTTTTAGTATAGCTTTACT